AGTTCCGACTGCGTATATATCTTCGGGTCCGGGGTTTTCAGAGCGGGCATTTTTCTGCGCGACAACAACCAGCCGGCGGTCGTTCTGCAAAGCATACTGAAGTGATTCAAGTGACTGCACACGTCCGATAAAAAACGGGCAGTTCATGCCCGGAAATACTACCGTATCCCGCATAGGGAGCATCGGCAGACGGATATGATTTTTTTTACTCATCGTAATCCCTGTTGGGTTTATAAAGCGTGTAAAAGAAGCCGGTATTATGCCGGATTACTGTTCAGCCTGTTTTTCTGTTCTGCGTTTTTGCAGGCGGTTTTCCAGTATTTTATTGCTGACCGAGTAATACATAATTTGCGCCAGAACCGCAGAAGTTTCACCTGTTTTGCTGAGGGTCGGCAGTGTATTGCGCATTGCCTGTGCGCCTCTGTCCGCAAAATTACGGAGTAATTTCGCGGCTTTTTCTGTTTCTGCTTTCAGTTCGCGGTAAGTCGGTTTTTTCATGGTATTTCAGTATGGTTACCGGCGTTGATACGATAGTCCTGAAGAGGTTTCCGTGTATAAATATGGTGCAGGGTCAGTCCTTCCGGCGGTGCAGTCATCCCCAGCATATCCCGCGTACCGTTTTCGGTCAATGCCGCTTCAAATGCCGCTTTGGGAATTTTGCCCAGCGCATAATCCGTAATGCTTCCGACCATAATCCGCACCATGTTTTTCAGGAACCCGTTGCCGACAAACTTCAGCGTAATGCGTACAGATTCTCCGTACGGTTCCTCCGAGATACAGATACTCTCAAGTGTTTTGACCGTATTGGGGGAGCCGCAGTTTGCCGCTCTGAATGCGTGAAAATCATGTCTGCCCGTAAGCAGGGGGATAATTTCCCGCATTTTTTCTGCTGACGGATACTTCCGCAGCCACCGGCAGTATTCACGATCCAGCACCGGCGGGGTATTCCCGCAGTGAACGACATAAATATATTCTTTCGCGGTCACTTCTGTCCGCAGATTAAAATCTGCGGATACCTGTGCGGCGTATGTAATCCCTATATCCGGCGGCGTCAGCGCATTAAGCCCTTTCTGTAAACGGTCCGGTACCAAATAAGCCGGCACATCAATGACCGCCAGCTGCCCGCGTGCGTGTACGCCGGCATCAGTCCGGCTGGCGGCTTTTATCTTAATATCCCGTCCCGTAATAACCTTCAGCGCATCCTGCAATACCTGCTGTACCGTCAGTGCGTTGGGCTGTATCTGCCATCCGGCATAATTTTTCCCGGCATATTCAATTTCAGCAGCATACGCCGGCTTTCCGCCGTGTTGTTTCCCGTCAGAGCGATTTTCCCTTCGCAAACAGTTGTGCCAGCATCGGTTGGGACGCACCGACGATACGGTCCACCTCCGCGCCTTTGTGAAACAGAATAATCGTCGGAATACTCCGCACCCCGTATTTAGCCGCCGACGCCTGACTTTGATCAACATTAATCTTGGCGGTTATAACCTGCGGATTTTCCCCCGCCATTTTATCCAGAACCGGTGCAATTGCACGGCACGGCGGGCACCATTCCGCCCAAAAATCTACAATCACCGGCTTATCACCGTTAATCAGCGCGGGAAACCCCGCGTCATCTGTAACCAGTACGTGTTCAGACATAATCAGACAGTTTGAAAGTTGATACAATTTGAATAAACACTGCGTTTAATAATGGTTTTTCTGCATACTGCATATCTGACGTTTACAATAACAGAATATCCCGTTAAGTGAAAGTAAAACACATTTCCTGTAAAACGTATAACCCGTTGAATGATTGCCGGTTTAAAGTATTTGCGCATATGTTCCGACAATTTATGCAGGCGTGTATTTTGAGGGTAACTAAAAAAACAGTTGACAGAATTTATACATTAAGTCCAAATTAAGGGCATTCTGTACTGTATTTTTCTGTCAGCGGGTGCAATTTAAAAAATATAAAAAAACCTGTTGACAAAAAAAAACGCGGTGCATACAGTTGATTTTGAATTCTCGATTTAGATAGGCACTAAATTGATTGCAGTAAAAACGAACGATGTTGTTTCGCTAACGAAATTCTTTCTTGCAAAAGGAAGGTTTTAATAATAACCAATAACAGGACAATACAATGATGAAAAAGATAATCAAAAGTGCATTTCTGTTAGCTGTTGCGGGTGCTGTTACAGTTCCTGCATTTGCTCAGGAATATAGTTCCTCTGTCAGCGGTGCCGTCCGTGCAGAGTGGAATATGGACACCATCAGCGGACCGAAGATGGAACAGGTGACCAGCGCAAGAATAAAATAGATAACCAAAGTATTGCAGGCGGTGATACTTACCTGACTTACAAAGGTACCTATAAAAACGGTGATGCGGAAGGCAGTGCGTCCATTCGTTTTTACGCCAACAGCGAAAAGAGACTGACTTTCACAGGTAAAACGAAGTGGGTGACTGGACCGGTGAAGCCAAAGCAGAATGGGATGAGTATTTTTCTCCTAATTCGCAAACTGCTAATGCTGATACGTCTGCAATTGATCAAAGAGATCAGTATGTGAAGCTGAGCAACGATATGCTGTTTTTCCAGTTGGGGAATATGCAGTATCTGAACAACCACTTCAAAGGCGGTGCCAACGCATTTGCGACTTCATTTGCAAATGGTACGGATGTCGGCAGAAACAATGATGTTGAATTTGAATCATTCTATGGCGGTTATAAGAATGCTGATTTAGGACTGGATGTCGGCGTATTAGTGTCTCAAACCAGCGGTACCGGTATGATTCTTCCGAATGTAACCTACGCGCCTACGGCAGCCGACGATGTAACTAATGATGATGGCGATAGCGCTGGCAGCCCCGCTGTCGAAGACTTCCAATCCACTTTGTATGGACTGGTGGTTAATCTGAAGATGCCGGATGTGGTGGGTCTTGATGTGACTTTCGAGTTTGCACAAGGTGAAACCAAAGGCGTGAAAGATCGTGATATAAGTGCAGACGGTCTGAAAGGCAAAGGAACATATATGGCATTGGGTGTTGGCGTAACGCCGGTTGAAGGGTTATCGGTGGTCTGAACTATGCTCACCAGTCGTGCTGAAACAGAGCACACGGGGTGACAGGGATAGCGGAGGTGCGGTAGGTTCCTCAGTTAAAACCGGGTGACGGCCGCAGCGGATCTCTGTACTACGGTAGCTATAAGTCTGACATCCACGGCATATCTCTGATTGTGGGGTAACAGCTACATTACGAGAAAGAAGAGAATTAAAGTGGAGTAAAAGAGCCACAAGCCGATAAAGCTTATTCATACACCATACGGAAGGTCGGTTATAAAACCCGCAATATCCGGTGTTACACTGATGGCGGGTACATCGCAGAAAGTCTGATGGGCCGACGATCAGATCAGAGGTCCCATATGAAAATCCTAAATCCTGTGGGCGGTACAGATGCATTCGGGTACAGGGTGCATCACCCAGAGAGAATCAGACTGATAGCCGATACGCGTTCTAATCTGACGTAAAACCCGTTTGAAAGACTGTCCCTGGCTTTTGGGAACAGTCTGATATAAAAATGAAACCGCTTCGGCGGGTTTTTTTTTGCCCAAAAAACTATTATTCTGAATGATCTGATGACAGCCGTTTGAAATTCCTATAAAGAGATATTATTCATGCGCTCAATACAGCACTTATTTTTTATCCTGTTTATTATCTCCGGATTTTTGTTCCCGGCGTGTTCTCCGTTACTGCCGCCGCTGACCCAAAAAACAGCGGTCTCGCGTCAGGACGCGATTATTATTGTGGGTGTTGAGTGGGAAGAGTTATATAACGACTTAGAAACAAAGGAAGACCTGCGTCGCACCGGCACTGAATTTTATTTGGAAGCGGCGCAGAAAAAAGCGGCGCAGAAACAAAATCCCGACAGCAAAACCGTTGTGCCGGTGATTCATCTGCATAATTTCCGCTTAAGCCTTGACGGTACGGAATTGGGAAACAAAAAACTGCTCTTTTACAGCCCGACTGAAACGATGTATAAATTTCAGGCGTATCCGGTCAGTCCGCAGCAACTCAAACTGAACACGGTCATATTTAAGGGTACACTGCTTCAAGTGGGTGCTGAAGATACCAACCGCAATGCCGATACCGAATTTAAGATTGAGGTGCCGGAAAGTCAGTATCTGAATTTTGAACCCGGAAAAATCTATTATCTCGGTACGTATAAGATATATCTGAAAACGCAGCGTGAGTGGTTTGGTTTTTTTCCGCGTGAAATCGTGAACCGCAGTATGGAAATTACGGGCTGGCAGGTTTCAGATGATTTTGAAGAGATGAAGCAGTATTATCAGGAAAATTATGCGTGGTTTCCGGTAAATGAAGCAATTAATGTTGCCAAACCGGTACTGTACAAACGGGTTTTTCAGGGGTGGGAACCGGGTGAGCCGGATAAGATCCGCGAAATTCCGGAAGAGCGCGATAAATCAGAGTTTTTTTTCTGATAATCTGATATACTGTATCCTTTTTCCTTAACATAACCATTACTCAGACGATAAGCATAACATGGCAGTTGAACGTACTTTATCTATTATCAAACCGGACGGTGTAGAAAAAAACAAAATCGGCAATATCTTAGCCCGCTTTGAAAGTGCGGGTCTGCGGATTGCTGCACTGAAAATGGCGCATTTATCCCGCGCGGAAGCGGAAGGTTTTTATTATGTCCACAAAGCGCGTCCGTTTTTTGGCGAGCTGACTGAATTTATGAGCCGCGGACCGGTGGTGATCAGTGTGCTGGAAGGCGCAGATGCGGTTGCGAAGAATCGCGAACTGATGGGGGCTACTGATCCCGCTAAAGCGGCACCCGGTACCATCCGCAAAGATTTGGCAACAAGTGTGGGGGAAAATACCGTGCACGGTTCTGACTCCGCAGAGAATGCGGCGTGGGAAATTGCTTATTTCTTTGCCGGTTCAGAACTCACCTGAATACCTGTTTCCTGAAATCCGGCTGTAATTCTATCATCATCACGCGGAAGGGTGGCAGAGCGGCCGAATGCGCCGGTTTCGAAAACCGGTAGGGGTGAAAGCCCCTCCAGGGTTCAAATCCCTGTCCTTCCGCCAGTCTGTTCTGTTTAGTTTTTTATCCTGCCTGCGCGGTCAGCAGCAGTTTAGTGATTTCAGCTTCTGAAGATTCTGCGCTTAATCCGTTCAGCAGACAGTCTGCGAGTTGTTTAAAGTCCCTTTCGTATGTCATTTCCGCCGGATTATCGCCTCCGTACAATATCTGAACAGCATAATCAGCTGCATCCTTGTTCCAACTGTCTGTGTCATTTCCGTTTTTCAGAATTTCCCTGATTTTGGCGGTGTATTTCCGTGCCATAGTCTTCATCTGCGGGCTGTATTTATCCGGATTGCGCAGTATTTTCAGCAGATTATCACATGTATTGCGCGGAAAAATACAGAAAGGGGACAGTTGCCCTTCCCGGTAAATATCCAGCATTTTAATTAAGTTGTCCGGATTACCGTCGGTAAGTTTTGCCGTGACCAGCAATGGGGTTAAGTTTGATTTTTCAGAATAAGTCAGAAGAAATGAGGGGCGCGGCGACATGTTGACCTGCCCGGCAATCAGGCGGCACAGGCAGAATTGGATCAGAGTTTGATATGAGACAACGCCGGCGTGTATTTTAAATACCAGCCCCTGCTGTACCGGTAAACTGCCCTGCAGGGTATAATTTCCCAACTGAATATGAAAGGGAAGCGGTTCCGGAGAGTATGAATATGATGCAGGCAGAAGATTGTACAATCTGACCATCTCCTTTTGCGCCGTGGTTAAGTAATGCCTCCCCAAACTGCGGCGCGGATACTTCCCGCCGGCCCGCAGTATATTCAGTGCAGTATGCTGCCGATTTTTATCTGCGGGGTTTTGCTTCAGAATATTGTACAGGCTTCTTTGCTGCCGGTAAGAAAGTGCCAGCGGCTCGTAAAAATTATCTTTATATCCCTGCGGTGTGATATTTTTAATGCCGAGCCGTTTCCGGCAGAACCACTGCAAAGGGTTTTCAAAGAACCCGCATAAATCTTCAAAATCAATCATTCCCGTGTTTTGCTCTGTGTCTGAAAACGCGGAAGGAAAAGAAATATCAGAAGTATGATTTTTTTGTTGAACTCCGGAATTATTTCTGTATTAAGAAGTTGTTGCGCCAGCCGGTAAGAAGGCAAAGAGGTATTAATCAGTTCCCGATTGTGGGTAAAATACAGGACGTCTGATGAATCTTCCGGATGCCGGATGAGAAAGAGATGGGTATTGTTTGCTTCGGTATGTACTGATTGACTGTTCAGATAACTATTGATAAAGTTCAGTTCGGGCGGCACTGAATTTTCTGCCTCTTTCACGGTTTCTTCCCGATTGTAAGTAATATGCAGTCGGTGTTCCGCATTCAGCAACAGGCTGATAATATTATACAGTCGCTGTTCACGCAGATCGGGTTCGGGATAAAGCCGGCGATCAAAGAAAATGTCGTTGTCAGCACTGCTGTTATCTCTGAAGAGGCGGGTATCTGCACCCATCAGAAAAACCGCTTTAAATGGTATCCCGCGTACATTCAGCAATGAGGAACAGCAGATGCCGTTTCCGGAAAGTCCTTTGTAAGATTTATACTCCCGGCTGACGCTGTTAAAAATTCACGGAATACCTGATAATTAACAGGAACATCCGCGGACAATCCGGCAGCAGTTTTACGAATATATGCAATAACTGCGTGAAACATCTGCGAGGCATTATCCGGCGGGCATATAAACAGTATATCAGCAAGCTGTTGCAGATAATCCGCCCAACCTCCGAGTGTCCGCGCGGTAAATAGTGCCGAATCACTTTCCTTGTCAGTCTCAAGGATTTCGCTTAAAATATCTGTCAGCCGCATCAGCCTGCCGAGTGCCTCGTAATCCATTCCCTGCAAGTCATGATAAGGCAGGACATTTTTGTACAGGTTTTGATGCGGGTTTTCGAATACATAGCCGGACCAGCAGGCGGTCGTACAGTTGAGGCAGACGTCCTTCACTTTCATATAAATAGCCGCCGGCAGTAAAGGCGGACGATATTTCTGACCCTTTACCCGGTATGAGCTTATAGACCGGAATATTTGCCAGTATCTGATGAATTTTGGCAACGTTATCGGCAGTAATACCCAATTTTTGACGCACACAGGCAAAATCAAGAATTTGCTGAAGCAATTCGGTGTGTATCCCGTCTTTTTGTGCGCTGAACAGTAAATCCAGCAACAGATACACATCGCCGGAGATAAATTCATCGCTGTCTGTGATGTAATAGGGGATTTTGATCGGATTATCATAAAATACCTGATCCAGTGCCGGCTGATAGTCCCGGATATTGAGCGCGGTAATCAGAATATCGGACGGACGCGCATCGGGGTGCTGTGATAAAAAGCAGACAATTTCATTGTACACAGTTTCTGCTTCCCGTAGAGCATTTGGACAACTGTGAATACGGACGGAGCGGTCACCGGAGCGAATAGTGTCAAGCGGTGCATCAGTGGCCTGCGCCATACTTTCCCTGATGTCATTCAGTACAGAAGAGGATTTGGAAGCCTCCGGGAAAAAATCTTCACATAGGTTATAGGCGTTATCGTTTAGCAGGCGACGTTCAAATACCTGTTGCGCCCTGCCAAAATAATCCAATACCGGATTTACTGAGTCCGCCGGTAATTTTTGATTACTGCGTTCCGCCCGGTAGACGGGTGAAGGTGTCTGTTGGAAATAATATATGTCCGAATATTCTGAAATCAGTGAGAGCATCAGATATTCAAACCCGGTCAAAAACGGCACGCCAAATACATAAATTTCAGATGGTACGGGCAACAGGGTTGCGTCCTGATTGCGTATATTTTGATAATGTTCGTGCGCAAACATAAATTTCTTGCGCGCGAGGATTTTTTTCCACAGCCGATTGGCCTTTGGGTGGGGTAAATAGCCTTTGAGGAATGCATCAGGCTGATAATCCAGCGCGCTAAGCATGGTGTGTGCAATTTTCTGGCACAGGCGATAGCGGCTGATTTCACCGGGTGCTTTTGCAGTCAGATTATCCGTAAAATACCGGTAAAAATCCAAATCACTGAATATCTGCAAAAGTTCAAATTCAAACAGGCGGCGGATGTCCGTATTGCGGATATTCTGTGCGGTTGACAGCAGTGTTGCCATGTCTTCCGGATAACAGAAAAGTGCATTTCCAAAGAAGCCCTCACGGTCGGCAAGCCGGTGCATCAGCATGTGTTTAATCCCGTTATTACGGACGATGAACACGGTTTGTGTAAACAGTTTGCCCTGATTGTGTCGGCGGAGATGCCCGGCAAGCTGATCCAGCAACATTTCCTGCGAGGAAGAGCGGATCAGGCGGAAGCGGTCAGGATTCATCAGTACAGATAAAGCGAGGCTTCTAAATTATTAAAGAAATGCACATACAGAAAAATGTACTGTATGGTACCCCCTGTATTTTTTGAGACAGGCAGGATGCTTTATGTTGCAGTGTTCGGCGTAATTTTCTGTACCCGGCGCAAGTGTCTTCCGCCTTCAAATTCAGTATTCAGAAATGCGGATACACATGCCAACGCAGTTTTTGTATCCATGAACCGTGCGGGCAGGCAGATAATATTGGCATCATTATGTTGGCGTGCCAGCGTTACGATTTCAGTCGCCCAACAGAGTGCCGCACGTATATTCGGATATTTATTGGCAGTGATGCAGACGCCGTTGCCGCTTCCGCAGATAAGTATGCCGCGTCCGGCGGGATGGGTATTAACTTTCCCGCCAACTTTATGAGCAATATCGGGATAATCGGCAGACTCTTCGCTGTAAGTGCCGCAGTCGTCGGTTTTGCAACCCTGTGCGTGCAGATGAGCAATAATTTCAGACTTTAGCGCATAACCGGCGTGATCTGAACCGATGATAACAGCATCTGTCATAGGATTATTCAATATTGTTAAAGAGCGCGAGGTTGTTGGGTGAGAAGAAGTCCCCCTTAATTTCAGTTTTACGGTACTCGTTAAATTCTACTGTTACGGGGTCGTTTCGGTAGATGGAATGCGTAAATTCGGCGCGGGACAGTTTTATGCTTCCGTCAAATTTGCGGTATTTTTTGTATTCTACATTATATTTCAGCTCGCCGGAAACAGAATAAAGTTCGGCACTCAAAGGCATCAGTTGTCCGTTTACCCGCAGGCGAATTTTCCCGTAAGGCACATCCAGATTTTTGGGTGCGAGCGTAATAATTCTTTCGTTCACGTCCAGATTGGTTTCAATCTTGATGATATTGTAATCATGGCTATAGGTGGGTATCAGCAGGTCGCCGATGTTGACATCCGCGGGGTCTAACGGCAACGGATTGTTTGTCCATCGTTGATCCACCGAAGAAATGTACAGCACCCCGCGTCCGTGACTGCGCAACCCATAATAGTATCGGCGCGCATCTTTAATTTTAAGGAAAGAGCCGTCTGTACGGATATAAAGCGTCAGGTTTTTGACCGGATAACCGGCGGAATTCATCGTCCCTATAATCACGGTACCCACGGGGTCTACGGTGCGGTAGCTGTCAATACGCGCAAGAATATCGGCGTACTCATCCTGAGCGGAGCCATATGTTCCGGCTGAAAAAATCAGCAGAAATAATATGCGGGCGACTGTTTTCATAAAAATCGGTTTTTTTACAGGTAATATATGCCCATTGTACTGCATATTTCGTGTTCAGTAAACCGTTTCCATAAAAATAGCCACAGGGAAATATTAAAAAATAAATGCAGGAAAGGTAATTCTGTTTTCTTAAGCAGCCGTTTTTTAATGAGAGATTTTTTAGCGGGTTTCATGCGGTTTTCTTCTATATGATAGAAGACGGAGCGCACGCGCGGGTCATTCTTCAGTTTTTCAGCAACAGAGGTTAGATTTTTCAGTTCATTCACTCTGACAATACCAAAGGATGTATTGCCTTGGAATCCGTAAGACAAGGAGACCGGGTATTCTTTGAGGACATATTGTATGCTTTGTCCGTCATGCATGTGGATTTGAATATCACCGTAACTGACGCCGTAGGCACCGGTCTGTGTATTTTTGAC